CAGCCCCTCATTTGTTGTCCTCTTCTCCCTCTCTCCCCCTCCTTTTTCCCCGGCCTTTTTTTTTTTTTTTTTTTTTTTTTTTTTTGGGGGGGGGGGGGGGGGGGGGGGGGGGGGGGGGGGGGTTTTTTTTTTTTTCCCCCCCCCCCCCCCCCCCCCACCCCTCACCCCCGAAAAGAAAAAAAAAAAGAGTCGTTCTTGGAGTCCCAATCACAAAAGAGATCGATACGGAGGCCAAACGAGATTGCACACACACACACTGCCACACACACTGCCACACACACTGCCACACACACTGCCACACACAGAAAAAGAAAGGTTACGTAGGCCAAACGAGAGTGCACACACAAACACTGCCACACACAGAAAAAGAAAGGTTACGTCGGCCAAACGAGATTGCAGACACAAACACTGCCACACACAGAAAAAGAAAGGTTACGTAGGCCATCACACAAGCACTGCCACACACAGAAAAAGAGAGGTTACGTAGGCCAAACGAGATTGCACACACAAACACTGCCACACACACTGCCACACACACTCCCACACACACTCCCACACACACTCCCACACACACAAAAAGAAAGGTTACGTCGGCCAAACGAGATTGGAAACACACACACACTGTAAAAAAGATTGCAACAAAGAGCGCAAGCCAAGGTTTTGGGAGAATAAAGAGAAAAAGACGGAAGCGCAAAAGAGGAGAAACGAAAAAAAGAAAAGAAAAGTGGAGAAGAGATGGCGGCAGAGGCGTGATGATTATGGCATTGTTCTGAATTAATTAAGTATTATGGGTATGGGCCTTGCTGCGCTACTCTCCAAATGTGCAAAACGAGAGTGAATCTTCCGCTAAATCATGGAAAGATACACCGCCATGATTTTTTCGTTTGTCCCCCATGTAACCTTCTAAGTTACTAATCCTTCTTTTTGTTCTTTTTCTGAAATTTGAAATTGGCGGTGCTAACCTCCACAACCCTTTTTCGAAAATTCAGCCTTTTTTTTTTTTTT